ATGTTGTTTTATCTTACTACATTGAACTTGGCAAGGTTCCTCACAGAGGAAGCCCCTAAGTTAAAGGATGGAGAGGCTAACAAAGACATGGTTGCCGCCATAAATGCTTGGAAGCATTCCGATTTTTTGTGTCAGAATTATGTACTTAATAGTCTTGACAACACACTTTATAATGTGTATAGTCTGATTAAAATGACAAAAGAATTGTGGGAAAGTCTAGACCATAAGTACAAGATAGAAGATGCCGGTTCAAAGAAATTCATTGTTGGTAAATTTTTGGAGTTCAAGATGGTGGATAGTAAGACTGTAATGAGTTAAGTCCAAGAACTTCAATTAATTATCCATGAAATACATGCTCAAAATATGACTTTGAGTGAGTCTTTCCAAGTAGCTGCTTGTATAGAAAAATTGCCACTATCTTGGAAAGATTTTAAGAATTATCTTAAACATAAGAGAAAGGATATGTCACTTAAAGATCTTATTTTTCGATTAAGAATCGAAGAGGATAACCGAAAAGTCGGTGGCAACACTATCATGTCTTCCAAGGACAATGTGGTTGAAGGTTCTTCGAAAACCAAGAAAAGGAAACGTACTAATGATGACTCTAACCAAAGCCACAAAAAGAAGTTTAAGAGGTAAGGGGCCGTTTGGTTTGCACGGGGTAAACGGAATGGAATGAATAAAAGGAATGAAAATCCCTCAAATGTAATATGTTGTTTGGTTGTAAAAAAACAATGGGAATCACTAGATTCACCACCACCACTGTTGATCTCTTTCATTAAAATTTTCCCCACTCCCGGGCCTCCGGCGACCCCCTGCCAGCACCCCAGCCCCCTCCCCTGCGCCGGCGACACCAACCCCGACCTCCTTGCCGCTCCCTCTCCCTTCTCCGACTCCTACCCACCACGTAAAAAACCCTAACTCCGACGACGTATCAATCCCATTGCTCCAACGTTCAGATTCGTTGGTGGTTTGAGGGGAGGGGAATGAGGTTTCGGTGATGGTGGTTTGGGGGAGGGGAGGGCGACGACGACGGTGACTAAGGTAGCCACGGGGTTTGGGGAGGGGAGTTGTTTCCGGTGATGTGTCGTTGGTGGTTTGAGGTGAGGGGAATGAGGTTTCGGTGATGGTGGTTTGGGGGAAGGGAGGGCGACGACGACAGTGACGAAGGTGAAGACGGTGACGAAGGTGACGACGGTGATGGTGGTTCCGGTGATGTGGGTAGGTAGGAGGGTGGTGATATGGTGGTGGCCAAGGAATGGAATGGAAATACCTTGGGGGGGGGGGGGTGGGGAATAAACTTGGAGGGATTTGGGGGAATGAAGGGGGTAAAGGGAATTGGAAAAGTGGCCTAACAAACAACAACAAAGGGAATGATTCCCATCGATTCCCATTCCCTTTGTTGAATACCCCCAACCAAACGGCCCCTAAATGTTGTGGGTGTGGTAAACTTGGTCACAAGGCCAAAGATTGCAAAAATCCCAATAAGAAAAAGAAGAATGCCCAAGCTAGTTTTGTGGAGGTTGTTAAGGTCTCCGAAGAACTTGATGATGTACATCTTTCGGCAATGATATCGGAGTGCAATATGGTAGGTAATCAAAAAGAATGGTGGATTGACACAGGTGCAACCCGTCATGTTTGTGCAAACAAGTCAATGTTCTCATCTTATACCCCTGTATCGAAAGGAGAAAAGTTGTATATGGGAAATTCTTCAACTTCTATAGTTCAAGGAGTTGGAAAAATAGCACTAAAAATGACTTCTGGCAAGACGGTGACGCTAAATAATGTGCTCCATGTGCCTGACCTTCGCAAGAATTTAGTGTCTGGATCATTACTTAGTAGAAATGGTTTTAAATTGGTCTTTGTATCTGATAAGTTTGTACTTTCTAAGAATGATATGTATATAGGCAAAGGCTATCTTAGTGATGGCTTATTTAAATTAAAGTAATGACTATTGTATCCAAGGATGACAATATTAATAAGACTGCAACTTCTATTTATTTGCTTGAGTGTTCTTATTTATGGCACTCAAGATTAGGCCATGTTAATTATAACTCCTTAAGGAAATTAATTACCATGGAAATATTACCATATTTTGATTGTTTAAGAAGGAAATGTCAAGTATGTGTTGAATCTAAATTTACTAGAAAATACCGAACTTTTAGATTTAATACATATTAATTTATGTGACATGAAATCACTGCCATCTAGGGGAGGTAAAAATTATTTTGTAACCTTCATAGATGATTGCAGTAGATATTGTTGTGTCTATCTTTTGAGTAGTAAAGATGAGGCTATTGGTGCCTTCAAAAACTACAAAAATGAAGTTGAAAATCAATTGGGTAAGAAGATTAAAATAATCAGAAGTGATAGGGGTGGTGAGTATGAATTTCCTTTTGAGGAAATTTGTTCAGAATTTGGTATTATACATCAAACCACCGCTCTTTATGCACCGCAATCTAATGGAGTTGCGGAAAGAAAAAATAGGACATTAAAAGAAATGATGAGTGCTATATCCAATAGTTCTAGTTTACCAAAAAATTTGGGGGGGGGGGGCTATTCTAACTGCAAATTATATACTTAGTAGAGTGCCTCATAAAAAGACACAAAAAAACACCCTATGAATTATGGAAAGGAAAGAAGCCATCCTTGAGATATTTTCAAGTGTGGGGGTGTTTAGCTAATGTTTCGGTTTCAAAGCCTAAAAAGGTAAAAATAGGACCAAAAACTATAGATTGTGTTTTTATTGAATATGCATTAAATAGTAGTGCATACCGGTTTTTGGTATACAAATTAGAAATAGAAGATATACATGATAATACAATTATTGAGTCAAGGGATGCTGTGTTCTTGAAGACATCTTTCCGTATAAATCAGAAAAGGGTGATAATAGTCATGAAGATAGGTCAAATAGGAAAAATAAAAGACCTCGAGATATTAAGGGTCTCGAAATAGAGGAGCCTAGACGTAGTAAACGACAAAAGACTTCTACGTCATTTGGTCCAGATTTTCTAACTTTCATGTTAGAAGATGAGCCTAAAACTTTGAAAGAGGTCATGTCGTCTCCACAATCTTTTCATTGGAAAGAAGCTGTCAATAGTGAAATTAACAAATTTCCATCTGGTGTTAAGCCCTTGAGTTGTAAATGGATTTTTACGAAAAAGAGAAAAGTTGATGGATCTATCGACAAATATAAGGCAAGACTGGTTGTAAGGGGTAATAACCGATGAGAGGGACTTGATTATTTCGATACCTATTCTTCAGTTACCCGAATAACATCCATTAGAATGTTAATTGCTTTTGCAGCATTAAATGGCCTTGAAATACATCAAATGGATGTTAAAACTGCATTTTTAAATGGTGATCTAGAAGAAGAGATTTATAAACAACAACCGAAAGGGTATGTTGTTCTCGGACAAGAAAATAAAGTCTGTCGTCTTGTTAAATCTCTTTATGGTTTAAAACAAGCACCGAAACAATGACATAAAAAGTTTGATGATGTAATGTTGTCAAATGGGTTTAAAATCAATGAGTGTGATAAATGTGTCTATATTAAGACCACTCATAATGGATATGTTATTGTGTGCTTGTATGTTAATGACATGCTTATAATAGGTAGTGATATTAATCATATTAATGTCACTAAGCGCATTTGACTAATGGATTTGAAATGAAAGATATGGGTGTTGCAGATGTAATTTTAGGGATTAGATTCATAAGACATCTGATGGTTTAGCTCTTTCTCAATCTCATTACATTGAGAAAGTATTGAGCAAGTTTAAGGGTTTAGGCATAAATCCTATAAGGACACCCGTAGATATTAATTTACAACTTGCCAAGAACAATGGCCAAAGTATGTCTCAGAAAGAATTTGCTCATATTTTAGGCAGTTTAATATACATCATGAGCTGTACTAGGCCTGATATAGCTTTTGCTGTTAGCAAATTAAGCCGTTTTATGAGTAATCCAAATGGAGATCAGTGGAAAGCGCTAAAACGTGTATTGGGTTATCTAAAGCAAACTCAAAATTTTGGTTTGCATTACACTAAATATCCTGCTGTACTTGAAGGTTATAGTGATGCAAATTGGATAACTGGCTCCAAGGAAACGAAATCTACCAGTGGCTATTTATTTACACTAGGTGGAGGGACAACATCTTGGAAGTCATCTAAGCAAACTTGTATTGCTCGATTTACCATGGAGTCTGAATTTTTTGCTTTAGATAAAGCTGGTGAAGAAGCTGAGTGACTTCGAAATTTTCTAGAAGATATTCCTAATTGGCCAAAACCTATGCTTGCTATTTGCATACATTGTGATAGTCAAGTAGCTATCGGAAGGGCAAGGAATGTCATGTATAATGGAAAGTCTAGACATATAAGTCGTAGACATGATACCATTAGACAACTACTCTCTAGTGGAATTATCACGATGGACTTTGTTAGGTTAAAGGATAATATTGCGGATCCGTTAACAAAAGGTTTAACTAGAGAGCTTGTGGATAAGTCATCAAAGAGAATGGGGTTAAGACGTATCAATTAGTTATTATAGCGGCTACCCAACCTAGTTGAATGGAGATCCCAAGATCTAGGTTCAAAGGGACAACCAAGTTATGATAACTGTAAAAGCACAATAGAGTACAAAACTCTAATCCATTCCTATATGTGACATATAATTGTTTAATTTTTAATCTAGTTTTCGTGTAGTATCAATAACAATAATTATATAAAATTCAAATTATTGCAACGATTTTGTGTTACGGTAAAAGTAACATTCATAACCAAATTTTCTTTATATTTTTACAAAAAGTTTTAACTAAAAACCATTTCTGTAATTTTACTTGGTATTTTAAAGGCCAAGAAAGTGACCAAGTATTATTATATTCTAAACATTTATTGCACAATAATCGATAAGAGTAGTTGTATTGAAATTGAACATACAAACGAAATTACTGGCTCTTTTAATTATTTGGGGGACCAATCTCGATTTCCATGACTTCATTACTAATGCTATCATTTCTTATCATCTTATTTATAAATATGATAGCCTTCTTCATGGGGTCACTCACACATAGGAAGAACAAAGGCAAGCAAATTAAAGCAAGAAACTGATATAAATGGCCGCGGTTGTTCCGAGGATGAAGCTTGGTTCTCAGGGTTTAGAAGTGTTTAGTCAAGGTCTTGGATGTATGGGAATGTCTTTTTCTTATGGTGCTCCTAAACCCGAGGAAGATATGATCAATCTTATTCGCCACGCTGTTTGCTCCGGCATCACCCTGTTTGATACCTCTGACATGTATGGACCTCATACTAATGAGATCCTCCTCGGCAAGGTAATACCCTCGCTTCTTTTTTACACTTTAGAGGTTTTCGACACAAACATGAATCTGACACGACATGATCCGTATACCAGCTTCAGTTCTTAGCCTTTATAATCCTTTTATCTTGTGAATTGAGCAGGCATTGAAGGAAGGATGGAGGGAGAAAGTAGAGTTGGCTACAAAATTCGGGATTAACAACGTTGGGCCGAAAATGGAGATTAGGGGTGATCCTGCATACGTAAGAGCAGCGTGTGAGGGAAGCTTGAAGCGTCTGGGAATTGATTGCATCGACCTCTATTATCAACATCGGATTGATACTAAAGTCCCCATTGAAATCACGGTTCGTACTCGTACATTACTTTTCTAGATTTACATTTTGCTTATGACCCGGGTATATAGTAGACAAATAATAGAGAAACGCATATCATTGTTCAATTGTTGGACTCAAAATTTGTAGGTGCTCCCTAAATTCCATTGACATATTGATGACAGACAACATGTACATTGATTATGATGTCTTTGTTTGGTTAATTTTCAATGTTGAATTAATTACCAGTATTACAAAAAAAAAAAAAAAAAAAAAAAAAAAAAAAAAATAATAATAATTAAAAGATTACACAGAATAATCACTTTTGGTTCATGTAGCCGACCCCACTTTTGGGATTTAGACTTTGATTGATTGATTACAAATCAAAATTTGGCATTATACTCCAGGGTAACCCCTATGAAGCCTATCACCCACTTCTCTTCACCCGAAACAAGGAAGCCAAAGTCCTCGCCACCCTATAGTGGTTACAGATCTCCGAAAGCTCCTGGAACCAGACTACCGTTAACGTATATCCTCTGTATCATAAGCTAAAAAGGGTTGTAAAATTACCCTCTGCATAATTTCCAAGCTATTGTAGGTTGTTAAGAAATGGGGCATTTTGAGAATGTCTAAGGGGTAATGTTAAGAACTTCTGTTAGTAATACAAACAATATAAGAAGTATGCTTCCGAGATTTTTGAATTTTTTCTCCAACTCAATCCTGCCAAGTTTTGCACTGCTGTTGAGTTACTTGAGTCCTCTATATGATCTTTGGGCACAAGAGCGTGCAGAGGCCGAATTCCACCACTGAAATATATTCAGCTTCCAAATTTTGATAAACTGATTTATTTTCTTTACATGCTATTACAGATGGGAGAACTTAAGAAACTGGTTGAAGAGGGAAAAATCAAGTACATCGGTCTGTCTGAAGCATCAGCTTCAACTATCAGAAGAGCACACGCTGTCCACCCATTAACAGCAGTTCAGCTGGAATGGTCCTTGTGGACCAGAGATGTGGAGGCTGAAATAGTTCCTACCTGCAGGTAAGACTTCTTTGATGCTCCGTAAATTATATGTAAAAATCTTAAGAATTACAACTCTGATTTTGTCATGTCGGACGCTTCATTAGGGAACTTGGGATTGGAATTGTGGCATACAGTCCTCTTGGCAGGGGCTTTCTCTCTTATGGACCTAAAATTGTGGAGAGCTTTACTAAGGAGGACAGGCGGCAGGTACGACTTACATTTGTATATATCCCTACTTCAAATGTTTCCCCTCAGGCATCAGCTTGCAATCCATTTAAAACACGAAAAATAGTTTGCTGATGTTTTTACTTTGTTGTTGTATATAAACAAAAACAATGGTACAAAGAAAATTATGCAGGAGAGATTTTGACTCAACCTTTTTTTTACACCAAGTTGAAATGCCTTACATAGCCATATATCTTATACGGAATAACATAGTTTTGGAGTTGGGTACTCGAGATAAAACAAGTTATATATTTCGAGTAAGTGATATGCAAATGTTTGATGCATGGAAGATACAACTTCGATGTATACATGTTATATACCTTCCTATTGCATTACATTTGATAAGATCTATTTAGAGCAATGCTGACCCCTTCCTCCATCTTGATGCTCGTATGTCTATCCTTCCAGTCCTTTCCAAGATTCCGGCCAGAGAATATGGAACACAACAAACACATATTTGAACAAGTTTCAGAAATTGCAGCAAAAAAAGGATGTACCCCTGCACAGCTAGCACTTGCATGGGTTCATCACCAGGGAGAAGATGTGTGTCCCATTCCTGGAACCACCAAGATTGAGAACCTCAACCAGAACATTGGCGCTTTGTCCGTGAAGCTATCTTCGGAGGAAATGGCCAAGCTAGAATCCCTCGTCTCTGAGAATACTGTTAAGGGTGATCGATATGCATCTCTTTCTGGCACATGGAAGAACTCAGAAACTCCACCGGTATCCTTATGGAAGGCTGAATAGCATGGTGAATCTAATACTTGGATTAAGATAATGACTTTGTGCTACGAAACTCTACAACCTTCAATTATTCCATAGTTACCTTCTTTTACTGCCTTTACTTTATTGGAGGTATTTGTGATAGTTTTTGTTCACAAGAATCTACTAAAGTAAAGGAAGTTGATTTGATGAACTCATGGAGTCATGAGAAACCATTATTAATGCAAATAGCAACTGCTCTGAAATAATAGGTATTTGGTTACTTTTGATTTTCTGAAGGGTTGAAAAACTTGAAATTGAACTACATACAAAGTCTTTTGCAAATTAATTGGTTTTTCTTTTTTAAGTTTGAAGGAGCCACGGGGATATATTAAATTACAAAGGAAAAATTGACACAAAGGAAAAATTGACGCCAGCAGTAACTACTATGTCCGGTCTTCTTAAAAAGGTCGCAATTTTAGGGGGGTCTTCCTCAAAACGGTCTGTAACATATTTTTAATTGGTTTGATCGGCTAAGTGCCACATTTCTTGTTTTTGTTAAGTGATGAAATCTTGGGTACATTGGTGGCTTGGATGCTAGTTGTAGTGGTGGAGAGAGAATGGGAGAGGAAACAATATTATTTATTTATTTATTTATTTTACAGACAAATTAACACGTGAAATTTAACCAACTCGATAATAATAAGCTAGTTATTGTTTTAAAGGAACCACCCAAAGTTATGGGTCTTGCCAGTTGCCCCAGTTTCTCAAGATGAGAAACGTTGGCAAATATTGTAAATAATGGCAAACTTTTTAATATTTTACTATATTTTCTTGCTGACTCATCTTCTTCCTCCTCCTTCCATTTTCATCATTCCTTCTTCAACCTTTCAAATCATCAATGGTAGACGAACTCCATCACCATCACCAACACCATCCCGGACACCACCAACACTACAACAAACCCCAATCATAACACCACCATATCCGACAGTTTCGCCCCCGAATTTAACGAAAAACCATAAGAAAAATATATAAATTAAGGGTATAGTTAACCTCAAATGATAGGGTTTTGTCATAGTTTGAAAGTGTTCCCTCCATAATTGAAAAAATATTCAATTTTCCATGCTGAAAACTGCTCAAAATCCATGGTTGAAGAGAGAAAAGTTGAGAACATTGGGTATTTTTTTATTTTTTTTACCAAAAAGACCCAAAATGTCCTTGTTTCTCATGTTGAGAAAAGTTGGGACATCATGATTTAATCACTAGTTAGAACATTATAAAAAGAATGCCCATAGTTGATAGTTGTGACTAATAACGCCAACTCTTCAATTTTAAATGGTAAAGGAGAATTCTAAATTCATTTTAGTGTTTAGAGAGCCACAAGTGAGAATCGATCCGAAAGAGAATTCTAATTTGAATGAACCACATAAGCATTATAAATACAAACAGCAATGGAGAAATTAAACCAAGGTCAAAAAATTTCCATTCCACTACATTTTTTTTTTTTTTTAGAGAGCCATAAGGGCGGGTGATGAGAATCGATTCCAAAACCTCTTGGAACCGAAAGGAAATCCCTAACCACTTGTTAGATTTACATTAATGTACATGTCGAAAAAGTTGAAAAAATTATTTTACAAATGTGTCAATTTCTTAATTTTTTTCAATATACATTTGAAGATATTTATAGCAATAAAAACGACAAATAAAACAATAAAGTCTAATCTGAACATTTACTGAAATCAGGCAAAGTAAACATAACCTTAATTATTATTGAGATTTAAAAATTATAATTAGATTACAAATTTACAATATATGAAAGATACAAATACAATCTTATTTAGTGAATGGAAAAGACATGATTGGCAAGGCTCACAAGCAGTGAAGAATCGACAGTGGTGAACAACTTTGGCATCCGTGTCCACCTCAACAGTGGACGAGTGAAACCTAGCTCCGGCAAGCGCAACTACCTCAAGGAAACGGTGACTCCAACACAACAGTAGGAAAAATATATATAAAGGAGCCCAATGCAAAAGAGGCTCAAGGGATATAAAGAACAAAGACGCCACAAGAAACAACAATATTACTTTCTTTCATAATATTTTCACGTATATCATGCATCAAGTCCATCAACACCAGTCATCCATGCGTTCAAATGAAGGTAAAAAAAACACAATACTTAACAAGAATTTTTTTATTTTTTTGAACTCATGATTTTGAAATATAATGGCTACCCAACTATCGTAATAATCAACGTAGTAAATCCTACGGTCTTGCTTTAACTTCAATTGGTATTGACAGTAGAATAAAGTTCATCGCCATTTTCAATTTTAAAAGTTTTACTTTGTTTTAGTTTCCGTTTCCTTTTACACAAATTGTCTATAGTAATATTTTAAAATTAATAATATACATGATATTTATGATACTTCAAAGGGGACTGTACTTCTGTACCTGTGTAAGGTTCGCCTTACGGCCCTGAAACCAAAGAGATATCTAATATCTCAACAAGTCATAGGAGGAATTGAATGTAAGAAATGTCAATTAATCCAATAAGTCTTGGATTCATTAGGTATAATACCAAACAAAAAGCATTATAAAGCATACTTTTTCAAAATTTTCATCAGACCTCATCAGTAAAAATCATTCCAGATATACTTCTGCAACATATTACTATGAAATCATGCTTGCATACAATATTAGCCAGGTGATCCGTAGCAATATTATCAACACTGATATCACTGGCAAAGCGGTTATGTGCAGGCCATAATTTCTTCGTAATCATGCAAAGAGGAACTCTAATAATTAATTGACAGTCTTCATAAAAGACATGTCATGATCTGATAATCTAGATTGATTATCAGAGCCCATAGGGATGAGAAAAGGACACAGCAGGTCCATATACATGGTGCAAGCAAGAATTGCAGCTTGCAGGAACCATATAAACGGAGAAGCAACAAATGCCTATTAGCTTACAGCAATGGGGCTACCGGACTAATGCTACCCTGCCCAGTTACTAGCCTGAAAGTTAGTGAGCAAGAAGAGCACCACTAAGGGTTTTCTATATTCCCTGCATAACCACTTGATAAAACAAACCTCAAACATTGCAAAAATATAACTATGTCTAAAATATTAAAAGCAATTGCAAGTGCTCTAAGTCAATAGTCATTCACAATCTTAACTAGCTACGCAACTAGAGAATACAAGAAGGTGCTAAAAGTAGACAATAGCTAATTCTCCCACACTATCACCAAAACATAGATGCAGATGAAACTAATGCAATCTCACAATCTTGATCTAGAAATGGCTGGAATATATCTGCTCCAAAGTCCTTAAAATGCTGAGAAATGAGCGACAGTCTGCAAATTCTATGGTAAGGCTCTTACAGATGTCTATCGTGCATATGGGTGGTAACGACTACTGCCGCTATAGCCTGCCCTACTTCCGTACATCGCTCCCGCTCCATATCCACCAGGACCTGAGCCATAGCCAGGACCTGAACCATAGCCAGGACCTGAACCAGACCCAGAACCACCACCATAGCTATCACCTCTGCCAAACATCCCTAAACCACTACCATATCCTCCACCTAAAGCCCCACCATATGGGCCATAACGGCCAGAGTAACCATAAGATGGTTCTCCACGATAACCAGTCATACTAGCAGCTCCACCAAATCCACCATAACCTTCTCCGTAATCACCACCTCCATATCCACCATAATCACCAAACCTAGAAGGGAAGGCTCCGAATGCCCTATAGGATGCAGGACTATAACCACTTCCAAATCCACTATAATTATCAGGGTATCCTCTGAAATTACCTCCATGAGTGCGTGCCCTAGAGTCACTACCAAATGCAGAACCAGAAGCAGGGTTTGAGGCTTTCTTTGGTTCAGCCTTCTTGATCTCAACCTACAACAAAGAATTAAGTCAACCTACAGTCTTTAATACCTGAGATCCTGGGTGGAAAAGAAAGTAAACCTGTGACAATTTCCATTTATGCTGAGATACAACCAAAATTTAGAAATGTAAATTTTCAGATTTGAAAACCAAAGGACAAAAAAAGACAAGATCATTATAGAAGAAAAATGCAAATTACAACATATTTTAATTAATCTAAACACAGGTGACCTGGAACATACAGTCCTAAAAAACAGCCAGATGACTAAACTCACCCTTGAGCCATTCATATCGATCATGTTTCCATCAGCCAAAATATCATCAACAACTTTTTCATGGTCAAACACCACAAACCCAAATCCTCGAGATCGTTTAGTAGCATGATCAAGAATGATCTCATGTTCCACAACATTACCATACTTTGAGAAGAAGTCCTTCAATTCATCTATAGTGTCAAAAATTGAGAAAATCAGTATCTGAGAAATAAACAGTAAAAAAATCCAAACATAACAAATTCAAAAGTAGACCTTCAGTCACAGTTGCTGGAATGCCCCCTACAAAGATCTTTTTAGTTTTAAAACCATTTGTTTGAGCAGCAGCACCCTTAGGTATTGTCCTCTTGATTTCCACCTGATGCAAGAATCAAACAGAAGAAACACTAAGTAGGAATATAGAGACAGAGATATGAATAACCTGCAATTAAGACATCCTGATAAAATTAACAAAAGCATACACGATTCTAATGGGTAAAATCAGAAGTTAGAATGAAAAGCTAGCAGACTTCCATAGCTGCCCACTTCTATTCCTTCACCCACTCTATTTGCATGCATAAGTACACATAGAAATAGTAAGAGACATAGCAAAAAATATTATTCAATAATTAAAAATTATCCAAATTTTTTTGGCCAGTCTCCAATAAAGATGGTCAAAATCACTCGACAACCTACTAAAGAGCTGCTGAATTCTTAGAAGCACATAGCAATGCAAAAAGCTCCCTATTGGAATGCAACTGATTATTGTTGTGGTATATTCAGGCAATACAATAGAGCTCGACCACCCCCTCCTCCCAATAATAATTTGTTTTTTTACAGTTGCGGTATATTCAGGCAATACAATAGAGCTCAACCACCCCCTCCTCCCAATAAAAAAAAAATAAAAAAAAATAAAAAAAAACAGTAGGACACAAGAAGACCTAGCAAACAAATAACACAAAGGAAGTAGTATGCCACATTAAATACTACAGTATTGGTCTAAGAACTAAGGCCTCATTTGGTTAGCCGACTTTTACTTTGCTACTAGTAGTGATAATTCAGGTAAGATAAGCATCCAAAGAAGCACATAACCAATATATATGCCATTAAACCACTTCAGTTCAATGAGTACTCATGATA